ACTACAATCCTGCGTGCTTATGGCTGTGCTGACCTACCTCCACCATCGACGGCGAAGCCTCATGAGACTCGAGGTCTTGCCTCCACCATGGCTCTTCATAGAAATTGTTCCCTGCAGTCCATCATGGAGGGCTGTTTTTGGAGATCCGATACGGTGTTTGCTTCACACTACCTGAGGGACCTATCGGTTACAGACGTGGAAGGTCTACTCAATTCGGCCCCTTGGTCCTGGCGCAGCAATTGTCATCGGCCCGTGTTCGCAGATAAAGCAATCCTTCTTTGGTCGGTTTTGCTCTGTACATAATAAGATATCGATGTAATCCATATCTTGGTACTTTTTTCCATTTGGATTAGATTATTGTCACCTATGGGAATAGGGCGTGTCTGCACTGTCATAAGTTATGACTTGATAGACTGTGAGGCCAGTCTTGTGCTACATGCAGAGATGATCGACACTCCACTTACTGACCTCTACTCTCCGAGCAATTACGTCAGTAAAGTGTTGATTTCCGATTACCTACATGGTTTTCGAAGCGTTCTGCTCCTAAGTCCTTTCTCACCTTGGTAAGTTAGGGAGATTGGTACTGAATGTTAAACTAGTTGAACAACCGAGCTATTCCCTCTTTCACCGCCTTCTAGCGTGTGTCTGTGGGGGGTAGTCTCGAAGCAGGGACTGGCCAGATTAAGGTCTTCGACTTTAATTCACTGGGGTCACCTGATAAATCGCGGAGCGGTGGGGCCTACTTGCCAAAATGCGTCCTTTTGCTTGTCATAAGATGCGGCTGAAAACCACATTAATTCAGGAGCGCCCACACCCTAGAGTTTTTGTGCTGTGTAAGCCAAGGGGTTACAAGAAACCCATCTCAAGTTTGGAGTCTGCATATTGGGAGTTGATGTGTTCTCCTGGCCTCCTTGGGTTTATGCATCTTCCTGGTTGTACGTATTGATGGGGTAATCTGCGGCCCTCCTACCAAATGTGGTATTGTGCATACCGTGAGATAGGATAAGTTTAAGAATTTGTAAATTTTATAATAAATTGTATATTTATATACTTATCCTATCTCACAGATGGATACCCAGCCGACCTGCCCCACATCATAGATTATTAAAAGCTCCAAGACGAGAATGACAGGCACAGGTAGTCACATGACCATCTGAGCGAGCTGCACGCTTACGGAGATGATTGACAGGTGCTGATGTCGGAGTGGGGTCAGAGGTCAGGGTGGGTCAGAGGCCAGTAAGATTTGATTCAACTTAGCCTACAGCACGTTTCCCCACATGGTCGTAGAGAAGAAGAGAGGTGCATACTGTGAGATAGGATAAGTATATAAATATACAATTTATTATAAAATTTACAAGTCTATGTTAAGGTATGGGAGTCATGGTAACCTTAGCTCCAAGATTGCTTTGTAGAACGGCACCCTGGTTGTCAAGTGAGGTGAAATTGGGTTTAACGTCGTGCTTGAGAATATTTCGCTCATATGACGATGTGCATGCGTGTGTATGTGTATGTGCGGCTGCTTGTACTAGCCCAGACTTAAGCTGGTTTTATAGTGCTAGCCCACTGAGATACCATGCCGCAGTGAAGCATGAATACCCCACTCAGACACATTATACTGACTGAGCCGACCAGTCCTTGATGTACCCATTAATGCCGAGCGCCAGGCAGGGACCAACAAGTACCATATTTTAACGTCTTCTGGTATGACACGGTCGGGCTGGTTGTCAAGACTCCACAGAACTTACTGTCTTAATGCCAGCAATGTTCCAGCCTGTTCACATCGGCCTGTACCTAATCACATTTGGACCTGACAATCCAGTGTATGGAACACATTTTGGTACAAGTGAATGCTATCAGCCCACAGTCTAAGCACCCGATTTTGACTTTAAAAGACATTTCCAAGGTCATCCTATCAACAAAGCCACAGTCTTTTCAACCAATACATCTGGTTACTTTTTATTTAAACATATTTTATTTATGAAAGAAAAGTATTGAGCACAAATTATCCAACGTAGAAAAGGACTGACTGACTGATTGAGTTTGGTTTTACGCCGCTTTTAGCAATATTCCAGTAACATCACGGCAGGGGACACCAGAAATGGGCTTCACACATTGTTCCCATGTGGGGATTCGAACCCGCCCTTTCGAAATGCTTTAACCATACCCCACTACCCCACAAGGAAGCCACAGTCTGTGGTTGTGAAGACTCCACAGAACTTACTGTCTTTACTCAACACATAGTTGGTGGAACAAAGGCCCACTCTGTCATGTCCACCAGATATGGCTATGGTCAAAAATAAAGGAAGAGTTTTCATCCAAGATTGAAATCATAAATCAGTTTATTTAAATACATTTTCATCATCATAAAAATACAGAACCAGATCTGATTATAACAACAAAGAGAAGCTTACAAATCTTGTACATAAAATATAATATACCGGTAGCAGAGACGAATTTCACATTAACCATTGCAGGGCATTAATAAGACAATGCTTGCATACTTTCCACATTAATGCATCTTTGAAAACTTGTTTGTAAAGCTCTAAAATATTTTGAACATTTGCCATTGTTTCAGCAGACACAAGATTCCACTTGAAAATATTTACAATGGAACCATCTGAAACACAAGATACTTTGGAAGTGAATACTCAACACTTTAGTGGTAGTGAGAAGGACAGAATTGTCCTTGTGGTATTGAACGACAAAGTCTTGAACTTAAATATATATATACTTACACAATACATATTCATGTTTCAGACATATCAGGTTATGATACATCTTAAACTATTATACTACTCAAAACAAGTTGAGGAATACCAACATTTTTCAAATTATTAACTTTTTCTATATTATTAACTTTTTCCAGAAGTACTAACTTCATTTTTAATGGCATGTCAGATTAACTTGAGCAATATACAAGAAACAGGTGGTGTTTAACTTTTTCAATAGCATGGGTTTAAATAGGTCTTACCAATAAGACCAGTGACTCAAGGCCAACACCTGTAGTTGATGAAATTGGTTGACATTCATATTATGCTTAGTATTAGATAACAGACTCCATGAACAATTGTTCCTAAACTACCTACCACACATAATATAATTCTGGAAGTAACTTTACACAGAAATGATCTTGTTCTAGTCTGTATGTCTTCTTTTATTTAATCCATTATAATACTTGTACTGAAGGCTTCAGTTCTCTATCCACTTATTAACTGGCAGTGCGTTACTAAGGGGGAAGTAATTACCCCTCCCTGAAGAAATGCCAATGTTAGACACGACAACACCAGATATTTTTTCTAATCTCATAACCATCCATAGTGTCAATGTTTCATTATTGTTCAATACTGAACATTATCAATATTTTAATAGAAAATTTAAAAAGTCAAATTGTGTTGCTTTCTCACAATCCTCCTTCTCAAGTATGAATCCGAGACCAGTCACAAAACAGCCTCCATGTTAAGAAACAAGAACTGGTTGCATTACTCAGCCCCAATATACCTGACTTTTTTCACCCCACTTTTGGGAAGCTGCCTGTGGGCAGTTTGTATCTTTGCCCAGGGTAAGGTTTGTCTCCCCCATCAGATGCCCATCCAAGGGTGAGCAGGCAATCATCCTTCCCGTCAAGCACGTCAATTCTCTATTACACATGTCATCTCCACCCAACCATACCCAATACATACTGATTTTACAGATCACCTTCAGAAAAATATATTTCTTATTATTTCCAATTCTATCTAAACTATGTAGACGACTTCAAGGAATCTTCAAAAATCAGGTTGTGTAAACAGAACTTTGCTTTCCAGACTTGACTCGTCATAAGAATAGTTGTTTTGAATTACTATTGACAAAAGCTAACAAAATATAGTGTTGAAGTATTTACAAGAAAGATCTAAGGGACTGGTCATTAATTTGGGGGTTGGGGGAAATTCAGGGAGGGTCACCCAAAACCCCCTTGATTTGACAGTCTCTAGGTGAAGGTCATAAAAAATTATACACATTTGGGGAAGTCCATGTAAAAATGTACAGAGCATCTGGGAAGGGTCATCCAAATTTAGAAACAAATATTATATTTAGTAATTTGTCATCAAATAACTGACCCATGCATCCCTGTAATACATGACCAGTCCCTTACACTCAAATATTTCTAATTACCATTACATGTAGAAATATGAAAAATCATTAGATATCGTTAGTTTCATATTCTGGACACATCTAATAAACAGGAATAATTGATCACAAAAGTAGCTTAATTACAGACATGTATTTACATGAGATGAAGGACATCTGGTACCTCTGATTATCACAAGACATTGACATAACACTGTTCCTTCTCATGGCAGCAGGCTTCATGATAAATGGAGACAAAAACATATTGGCTACTGTTACCTGTTCTCTTCAAGGTGTCCTGTGTATATCATGTAATCTTGTCTCTGTAACCTTCCTTACTACAATGATGTAGTTGAGCTTATGTTATCAAGGAATGGTGACCTTTTTGTTTCTTTTATTTGCTTTGGTTTTCTCCTGTACAATCTTCAAAATGATTATTCAATTCAATCAACATCTCAGCCCGTGGACTATCTTCACAATCCATAGGGAATGGTCATTTATTATAGGGGTAGGTGGGTCACCAATAACATGGGTTCTAGGGGGAGGGGTCATTAAAACTAATTCAAAATTGGAAAATTTACAGAAAATTAAAAATGTTTTTAAGTAGTATAACAGCCAAAAACACTAGAAAAGTAGTTCAATGCTGGAATATCACAGATTATTTGTTTCGGATTGCTACAATATTGAATCAAAATATACCAAAGTGTGTTGTCAGGCATGTTGATAAAATGAGTATGTACTTACTCAAAGTAATAGGCACACTGGAGGATTGCTTGAAGTGACTTCTGAACATTACACCATCTTGTATACAGAGATACATAAGGTTGACAAACATGTGGCCAGCATTTTTCACATTCATATTTCAAGTAGCTCACATGCTCTGATCTATGTTATTTTCATTATCACATTTAATTCCATTTATTGCAGCAGCTGGAAGATGCAGTTAAAACTACCAGTTCAAGGGAGGTAACTCTGATTACTTGCTATTGCTTCTCATCAACATTTCTCTGTTGTCGGGTGGGTTGTAGTTTGATTACTGTGGATAAAAAATGTTTTTCACTTTGGGTATGCAGCTGACAGAGATGGTTGGTCAGAGACAATATTATTTGAAACGCTTAGTTTTGTGGCCATGTGGGGAATAGAACCCGGATCTTCAGCATGACGAGCAAACGCTCTATCCACTAGGCTACTCTGCCTCCCCACTACCCTTAGAGGAAGTAATCCATCTAGTAGTTAAGTCAATCATCATTACAGTCATCACAGTGAAATATAGTCAAGAATTGCTGTTGCAGTTCACTTTCTGAAACAATTTGATGCATACATTTAAGATCAAAACTTAATCTACAATGGAGATAAAAAGCAGCAAAAGATAGAACTGGCTTTTAAATGAAGCAACATGTGCTTGATAGCAAATAAATAAGGATTTGTATATTAAAAAGGTTAATTTATTAAGATACTTGTGGTACTTAAAATGACGTACATTACTAATGCTAAAACATTTATTCCATTAGAATAGAACAGGTTTAAATTAGGTGATTAGGTAATTAACAGTTTATGATGACTATAAGTATCGAGGTGCAGCTGTTGAGGCCAGCTTCATATCCTGACATCATGACTGGAGCTAACCTGAGCAACAATGGACACCAAGCTCGCAAGTTACAGTTCAATCAGTGAGGGTGTGAGTTTCACATTCTTAACTCACATCACACTCAAAGGAATTGGCTTCACCCATCATAATACTAGAAAAACACAGAAAAACCAGCAAATGCAAATCTTGGAGACATAAAACTATAGTTAAATGGGTGAAGATATTAATCCCATATTATTCTGGTCTATGAAATATTAAATTATTTGTTGATTATTATATTATGTTTCAAAGAAACACCAATAATCTCTTTGAAGAGTTCTGATTTGTACATGTCTGATTAACACACTACATGGGATATATTACTCTGCTTAGAGTAGTGAACTGTCTCCATGTACATTGTGTATTGAACATTATAGTTTTACAGTAGCAAAATAAATTGAGCTTGAACTGATTTCAAACACTTGTATAACAAAACTTCACAAATAAATATACACCATTATCCTTCATCTTTCCATGTTCTGAGCAATCATAGCAAAAATGTTACGTTAATATAGGCAGTCTGAATCAAACTCCCACACAAGGAAATGATAGAAGCTATATCACCAACAACAATGTCTGAGGCAACAGTGTCATCTGAACACACAGAAACATCAACAACTCTGAAAATATACATTTCATACAAACAATCATAACAGGGAGCAAATAACACACAGCTCCAGAACGAGTTCCAACATAAAAAATTTGTTCATAACATGCTAACTATGATACCTCTCTGATTATTGGGGTCAAGACAAAGATATTCCCAACACAGAGAGTCTAGGGCAAGTGGGATGGATGTTTCATAAAGCAGGAAGGACTTAAATGATAAATAATGATTCTTTGATTTAAGAACATACTGATAATATTACTCTACAAAAGTGTCCTGTTGCTATCAAACAAATTAGTTTCACCAAACTTTCCACTTTAACCAGATTGAATCTTACCATAAATGTACTCCATTTTATACATTAGCTTTTTTCAGTTTACTTCAATGACACTACAGTTTTCAGAATAAATTCATGACAATACTGCAAGAAAATACATAATTACAGAGCTTTATCTTATTCTTGTCAACTAACATATTTCTGTCATCTTGGACCTGCAAAGCTGACATATGTATTTGACACAATTCCTGGGAACAATACATGAAAAGAGTGCCACCTACTAAGAATAGATGTTGCACTTTGTGTTTACTATGTTTAGCTTCTCAATACTTTTTTCATCATTAAGACATAACTTAGATACAGGAAGGAGATCTCTACAGATTTAATGAACACTTGATTTTTCCTATCAAAACCTCTGGAGACATCTCACTACAATAGAACAACCACATCCACATAAAAGTAGGTGTGTAGAATGAATGTATGAATGGGTTTTACCCTGCGCTTATCAATATTCCAGCAATTTCACGTCGGGGGACACCAGACTTGTCGTCACACGTTGTACCCATGTGGGGAATCGAAACCGGGCATTCGGTGTGAGGAGCGACGCTTTAACGACTGGGCTACACCACCGCCCCAGGTGAGTAGAGATGAGGGGGGATAGGTATGAGGGGAGGTGGAGGAAAGTGAAGGAGATCTATATTACCTCTCAAACTCTACAGTCTTTTCACAGTACTAAGACCATTGAAGGGGTTTATGACAGTTGAGGGGGAGTAGCCATGTACAAAGCTTAAAACAATGTTTCCATAACTTGCAAAACTCCACATTAAATTTCTGTGTAGTAGGACATTCGGGGTATGCCAAGGTAATGGAACATGAGAGGAATGGTATATACAGTGTTCAGTGATATTAAAAAGTAGCTTATGTACTTGTACGGAAGTTCCACAATGAACTTTTGTTTGGTTTTGGGATCTTTTGGGTCCATACTGAGGATGAAACAGAGAGACGCATACACAGAGTTCTTCATGTAGTGGTGTAAAATGAGGGTGACAGCCACTCCTGACACCAGCCTGAGCATTGCTATTAGGATTGCTTGGTACTGGAAATTCAGCGAGAAGGGGAGGGAGGCATCGTTGGGACTCATGAAGCCTTGGTTGTAGTTGATCCAGGTGCCGAGGAACAAGCCGCCGGTGATTGACAGAATGAGGGTCGTGTCGCCACGTGCTGTACTCCACTTGTCTAGTTTTGGATACAGTAGAGAGAGGATTATGGGCAGAGACAGTAAAATTACTGGCGAAAGCGGATGTGTGACGAGGAACTTGTCCATCGGGTCAACGAAGGGCACGGTGAAGGTCATCACTACGACAGCAAACAGAAGCCCTGCAATCACATCCTGAAATGTGAAATGGACAAATAAATTACAAAGCATGTCATGGATTTGTACAAAATATATAGGAAATCCTATTTGTGTCCAGAGTACTTTCTTAAAAACCTGTGAAGATCTGTGGTAGAATTGATATTCAGTAACCCATGCTTGTTGTAAAAGGTGACTAACGGGATTGGGTGGTCAGGCTCGCTGACTTGGTTGACACATGTCATCATATCCAAATTGCATAGATCCACACTCATGATGTTGATCACTGAATTGTCTGGTCCAGACTCGATAATTTAGAGACCGCTGCCATATAGCTGGAATATTGCTGAGTGTGGCGTCAAACAACAAAAAGAAAGAAATCAAAACTTATATATTGTCTTCTTATGAAATATACTCTTACACATAATACTCAAAACAAACCTGAACACTTGTACCGCCATCATAATCTTGTGTGAAATCCAATATTTAATAGTCAAGAACGTATTAATCATGTTATATGGCAGATACAGTAAAAAATATACACAATGCAAATGCAAATTTCACAAACTACCAACACGACGAATTTGCACCTAGGAATGATTTCTAATGAACAATCCAAGGGAGACAACTCACCAGAATGTTGTGCATGCCGAGGTAGATACGACTCATACAGACCAGAATGCACCAGGCTACTGCGATCAGCAGGCCAACAAACATGGAATACTGCAATAGAAACACAGCAATTAGTGCATGTTACCACAAACAGTAGGACCAGTCAAAAACTTTCTACCTAATTCTACTGATGTGTTTAGCATTTTATTTTTACTCTGTTATATTTCCATAACATTTATATATGCCATATTTTATTTGTTAGATAACAAACACAAGTTATTCATTGTCTCACGATCTGTGAAAGTATATTTCTCTATTGTCTTATATATTCTGACTGACTGACTGAGTTGGGTTTTACGCCGCTTTTAGCAATATTCCACAATATCATTAAATGGGCTTAACACATTTATGTGGGGAATCGTGTGATTGACGAATAAAACCACTATACCCCACCGCCTATTGTCTTATACACCATATACACATTATATTTAAAGTGTGATTCCAAAGTATAACCATCTGGCACCAAAGACTTATTGTCAGCATACATCCACATTCTTAATAACACGATTCCAAACCCTATGTAGTCATAATCATTTCCATTCCTGATCCCCATTGAACCAGGTCTTTACAACAAGCACCTGTTCTGTATTCCCCTAACATGGGCAGCAATCATGTCGTCACTTCTAGCAAGTCACTTGAACACCACCTTATCTACGCATTTTATGATGTATGTCTTAGCAGCTTATGACTAGCCAAACTGACCATGTCTCAATTTCACACAGGTCATCATAACCTTGGGGTAATATCACTTTCATAAGTAATCTTAGTGCTACAGCTATCTTTAGTATATGTTATAGCATGGGAGTTAGGGTCAAACTGACCATGTCTCAATTTCACACAGGTCATCATAACCTTGGGGTAATATCACTTTCATAAGTAATCTTAGTGCTACAGCTATCTTTAATACATGCTATAGCATGGGAGTTAGGGTCATAGTAGCGCTAACCTCACTTTGTGCAAGTGGACCTGGGTACATAATGTAACTACGGAATATTAATTAGAAATAAGAATGGAGTAATAATATATATAGAAATACTCTCCATCTGTGACACTGGATCTTATATTAACATACTCTTAAGCTTACTGCAGCTTCTGAAGGCCAGGAGGAAAATAGAGTGGATTATCTGCATATGTTTTTATTTCAGATGACATTTATTTTTATATATTCTGTAATAGGAGGGTTTCTGTTTTAGACATCTATAGAGGTCACACAGTATTTGATTACTGAACGGTTAAAGTTCTTCAGTAGTTTGCAAATAACTGGATCCAAAATCTGTGACGTTTTTATTGGGAAAACTCTGATTGATTGACCTATAAACAACTAACAAGACTATTCATCTCAGTTTACACTAAAACATTTAAGAGGAGTGGCCTGTTGCGACTTGCTATCCTATCACTAACCTATCTAACATCATCCTCTGTATCAGTACTGATGGTGAAGTAAGGGTTATCAGTGTCACTGTGTTCAACTGCACCACAGATAATACAATGGTGTGAGGTAGGCTGTTTGGTAGAGAGGCAGGCAGGAAGAAAACCTAATAACTGAATTATTACCTCCTTCATCAATCAAACAAAACAAACAGCTGTAAACATGGAAGAAAATCACCTCAGGCTCCCCCTGTCATGCTCACGCTATAACAAACCCATTTAGATGCCACAATAACAGCATCCCCAAAGGAGACGCATGCCATTAAGCAAATTGCTGCAGGCTACTAAGGTATCAATGGTATGTGTCACACATATAGCAGTCAGCTGATGCCACAGTGCTCCCCTTAGTCCAGGCAAAGCTTCTCTGCCTTCCATACAACAATCCCATCAACAAAATACACTCAAGTATTTTGACATTAGCGTCCCCAATGTGGTAAACATTGCTTCGCTTTGGACTTTGTATCAGTGGAAAGCTGACAGGCTATGATCATAGGGCCTAGAAACAATTGCCATGATATCCATGGAGGTGTGTCGGTTGACATGCATAACATTGTTTTGAATGACATATGTAAAGTAACTATATTTGAGAAGAAATCAAGAAATCCTTCTTGCATTTCATCGGTCCCAGATGGGGTAATGTTTAGTTTCTGTAAAGATAATAGTTTCATAGAACCGAATAACTCAGTTTCAAATGAATGGGAGCCCCAGTGAGATGGGAGATCCCGAACCTGAGTGAGTGAGTGTTGTTTTATCCCGGTTTTAGCAATATTACAGCAATATCACAGCATAAATGGGCTTCACACATTGTACCCATGTGGGGAATCGGACCCGGGTCCTTGGCATGACGAGCGAACACTTTAACCACTAGACTACCCCCCTAGACTTGTTATGTTTAGAGCATATGCATTGCAGAAAGAGTTGGGTGGATGAGGTAAAAAGGTAGTGAACACACTGTGAGACAGACCAACAGATAGCTGCATAGGGCAAACAAAAACAGTGGGGAATATCCATGACTAAACTTTTAGTCCAACACTTGTACAAACCAAGACAGACTGTTGTTACTCCTCAAATCTTTTACATGACAACTACTCCAAAATGAAATGACGACAAGCTGGATATGTCATGGCTATGACGTCTAGCCCTTGTCATTTCACATGGATAAGCATGACAAAGTCTACACACCTGTCATAAGTGAGTGAGTGAGTTAATATTTAACGTCACACACACCTGTCATAAAGTGCAGATGGTTCATGTACTAGTTAACTGATTATGAATATGATGGAAGATCCAGATCTACAGCATCACTGTCCCACCCTTTCATGTCGTCCTTTTGTTTAACATCACCATGATTACACTCAGCAATATTCCAGCTCAGATGAAAGATGGCAGAGTCAAGATTGGACCAGATAAACTATTTGATAGTATAAGTCATCTAATGCCTTCAGGAAAGGATGAAATGTGATCTACCAAGTCTCCAGGCCAGTTAACAGATCCATTTACAAGCATCTTTAGTTGCTGGGAACCTTTTGTTTAACATCACACTCCAATATTCCAGCTATATGATGGCAGCCTGCAGATAGTCAAGACTGGACCAGATAAACCAGTTATTGATAGCATCAGTTATCCCATGCCTTCAGGAAACGATGACATACAATCTACCAACTCTCTGGGCAAGTTAACAGATCTATTTAGCAGCATCTTTAGTAGCTGGGAGCCTATAAACTAACACAAATCTCTGAAAATATACAGTTCTGATAGAAACAACAACTCCTTTTCAATTGAAAATGAGCCCCAATGAGATAAAGATTCAGAAATAAAAACTCTGGAAAATCTAGACTTGCCTCACTTTGGGCTACAGTTACAGTAAGGGCAGGACTTATATGGTTATGGGTCTGGGAGAGGCTTGGAACCTGTTTTATCTCCAAAATCATATGTGGTAATGTAACATGTACTATATTAGTGGATGGTTTCACCAGTGACAGTGTGGACTGTACTGGTGATAGGAGGATATTAATATGACAGATCACTGTGACACTACTTGACCATGATGAGGTAGCTAATGTTTCACTTCCCTTAACTTGTGACAAAGCCAGGGCTGTTTGATTCCCTGAACGTGTTCACTTTACATAGCCTCCCTCACTTCCATTTATGAATATGTCATCGGTATTGGGTTTGGTGTCTTCACATAAACACTTGTCTACTACTTGACTTGACAGTATCTTGACATAGGGAAATCAGATATACATGTACCAATATACATACAACATAAACTCCAACCCCTTGCATGTATCCTTATCAGCCCAGAGGACAAGATACTGCTGTGAAAAACATCAAGGATTAAAAACAGATGTGACAATTGTATTTTTGTGATTTCATAGTTTTTCCCCCAAAAGATACCACACAAAAATACTGTGCAGATTAAAATTCAGTCAAAATATGAGAGGACCACAGTCAAGTTGCAGACAATTAATTCTCAACAATCCTGTGACAATCCTTGGACACGACAGTACTGCTGTTGCATCTGGCCTAGCAATACCATAGATTTTAATTTGCAAGAAAACCTGTTGTCTGCAGCTGTTTTATGCCAGTGTTTGCTGTATTGTCATGACAGCTGAACATATTTTCATAACAAATGACCTGATAGATTAGCATGATTCAACACAAATAGGTCAAACAGTCCTTTACTGATCTCAATAATATATAATTTGGGGGATCCATATTTACTTACATTACCCCACAGGTGGATTACCTATATACAGTACAACCAGAAATTATTGAGTATTTAAAGATTGTAATTTTGTTATTTTTTTCACTCATTACTCATGTATTAAATGTTAATATTAGCAGAACAAAACTCCAGATTCAAAGACAGGTGAAGAGTTAGTATTTTGTCAAGTCACCATGGGCAGCAATGCAGGCTTCAATGCGGCGGGGCATACTACTGATCAAAGAAGTTAGATGCAATATTTTTCAAAACACGATAAACAGTAGACAAAGGGATGCCTGTTCTACTTGAAATCACTTTAGCTGATCTGATGTCCTTGGTATAATACTCTAAAATCAACTTCCTCTTCTCTAAAGCATCCATACTGAGGATCACTGAAAATGTCATCCGCTAGCAAGTTAAAAAAGGGGGATAACTCTTCACAAACTAATGAAAAAGGTTTAATGGAGTAGTCTCTCTTGAATGAAACCAAGCACTTGATAGCTGGTCAAGGTTGTTTATACTAGAAATCCAATTAAACATATTCCTAAAATTCTCAATAATTTCTGGTCATACTATACAACTAATAAACACCTTAAAGAGCGGGGGAGGTGGGGTAGCCTAGTGGTTAAAGCGTTCGCTCGTCACGCCTAGGGTTCAATTCCCCACATGGGTATAATGTGTGGACCCCAATTCTGGTGTCCCCCGCCATGATATTGCAGGAATATTGCTAAAAGCAGCGCAAAACTAAACACATTCACTTAAACAGCGGTTGTTTGGCAACGCCTACTTCAATGATATCTAATAACAGAAGGTACAAGGCAGAGCAGGAGGTGGACGTTGTTGTAGACAGCAGTGCTGTAGACCCAGTGATGTATGCCTGTTGACAACACCAAGCCACAGCTCTCTCGTATTGATC